AAGTAACAATCTTACCATATCATTTTCTGCACTGTCTATTCCTCTCTTATTTTTTCATCAGTTAGTCCATCAAGATTATTAAATAACAAAATTATAATAACTTTTATCATACATTTCTTAACTTAACACCGTGTAGTACACGAGTATTATACTAGTATGTAATTTAATTTAGTCTAGTGTTTTATTGATATGGGATATTGTATACTGGACCGGTTTGTCGGGCCAACCGGATAAAATGAGTCGATGGGCCGGGTCGCATCGAGCAACTACTAAGCAACCGATGCGAGAAGTCGAAGACGAATGGGCTCAGTAGCGGTGGAGGATTATTCGCTGCACCGAGCACTGGTCGAATTGAAGACTTAGGTGGTCGAAGAGGAGTGGTCGTGGAATGACCACTCTTTATCATATGGACAGCTCAACGATCGTACTAGAACTGGTCGAAACAACAGGATCTCTGAAGGAATCTCCAGCACGTGAAAGAGGCACACGCGGCACACAACGAGTGGTCCAGAGCGATAACGGTCTCTGACATTCCCTGACATATCCTGACGCGTCTCTGACACTGGGATAGTGGAGGCAAATGATCGTACGAACGAGCAAGGAGGATAACCAGCTCGACTCGCCCAAGCCGCACGTGGAACGCAGGTAACTCGTCCCTATAAATAGGGACGAGCTTCTTCATTTCAGATACAATCTCTTCATACACTTACATATTTTTCACATATGTTCATCTTCTCAAGACTGACTTGAGCGTTGGAGGCTCTCCACCGGAAAACCCCCCCAGTGTGAGAGTTATTTGCAGGTTCGGCGTTCTACCAGCGAGGAAGACGATTTTGGAGCGGTTTCGAGCTGGTCGGCCGTTTACACTTGTATTTTACTGTAGAGTTTTCTTCATATTTCCACAAAATTAACATAAGTTGAGCTATCCACATTAAATATTGTTGAACAAAATACATTCAACGTGCAACAAGATATATATCAACTCCACTCCATTTAATTTATTTATTTTACTTTTAAACTAATAATAATGATTATTATAAATATGTGAGTTAATAAGTGACAATTCTTTTAAAAATATATAATAGTAATTAAGTTTAATTGAAAATTATATTAAGTATGAGTAGAGTAAAAAGAATAAAGTAAAAATGGATGGGGCGTAAGGTATCTAAGAGCATCAAGTGTTGCGTTATTTTTTATAATTACGTTGAAGTTGTTCAAAATATTCTCTTCAATGTTGCGCCACAGTTCTACGGTAGAGGAGAGTTATGTAACTGCGCCAAATATTGACAGTACTATTTCTATATGCTAATTTTTATTTTTAATTTTGTACTACTAGAATACTCGTATATTAACTGCTAGTTAACAAATTATATTTATTTTTTTAAGAAAAAAAGAAAGGAAGTTTCTGTTTGAAATGTAAAATACTTTTGAATTATTATATTATTATTTTTACTTAAAAAACGACAAGCGTACAACTTTCACGTCTTATATTTCTAACTTATATTATACAATTAAATGTATATATAACTTATTTAATTGATAAAAAATATCATTTTTCTAGTGACATTAATAGATAACTTAGCTTTTATTGTATAGATAAATATAACTATTTACTTTATATATGAAATACGAATGTCAAAAGAAATCGACACTATTCAAAATATACTAATTTGATATATTATATATAAAAGAATGTCAAAAGAAATCGCCATTATTCAAAAGATACTAATTTGATATATTATATATAAAAGAGTGATAGTAAATATAAAAGATATAGGGTTCTGAAATCCCTTCCTATATATTAATTCAAACACATGTTGAGCCTAAGTGGCAGATTCTCACGCTTTGGATACTGACATGACGAAAATCTATAGTTCGTAATGTTGTTTATATATTTATATTTGTTTTGGAGTTAGACTTGGTATTAAACATAATTAACTTTTTTCAAACTTGGTAAGTGTATATTTAATTTTGTTATTTTTTTTCTCTTAGTACACATTCCTTTTTAGTTTGGGTAAGTAACAATCTTACCATATTATAATTTTTCTCATATTTCTCTCCTAAATTAAAGTTTACAAATCATTTTTTGCATTGTCTATTCCTCTCTTTTTTTTTCATCAGTTAGTCCATCAAAATTTTTAAATAAAAAAATTATAATAATTTTTATCATATATTTTTTAACTCAACGCCCTTGTAGTACACGAGTATTGTAATAGTATATTTGTAATTTAATTTAGTCGAGTGTTTTATGATTTTAAAAGTCCTAATAGTTATTTATAAAATTTCATATTCACACAAACTAATCCCAAACACCATAATTCGACATATCTCCCCTATATATTAATCCAGAATGCGCTGAGCCTACGTGGCTGCTTCTGGTGCTTCGGAATCCTATGTGGCAAAATTACATGATTCGTTATTAGGTTTGGGTAAATTTTAATTTAATTCCAAACAAAAAATAATTAAGTTCGGATTACCATAAATATGTTGATTATTTATGGTCATGTTACATGTATTAATTGCATTTTAATATCATTCCTTATTATAACTATTGAATTGTATATATTTTAAAAATTAATAACTTTTGTATTTTTTATCAGTTTTACATATGTAATATATCAAATTAATCTTCTTTTGATGAGCTTCGATTTAACATCCATATTTATATATAAAAATAATAATTTATATTTATCTTTATAACAGTAATAAAATTATTTTTAATATTAATTAGAAAAATAAAATTATTTATCAACTAATATATTTATATTTCAAATAGTTATATGATATAAGTTATAAAAACTAATATAATATAACACATGTAAGTCATAAGTAACACAATCATTCTAAAATATGTAGTAATATATTTTTTTGGTAAAAAAGTAAACTAAATTTAATATAGTTTTCTCATTAATTTTAAAATTTAAAAATATTTTTTTAACAAGCACCCGTGTAATACACGGATGTTGTACTAGTATTATTATAAAACACCAAAAGTCGGCACATAATGAAACTATACATTAATAGAGAATGGATATCACATATGCTTATTATTTGAAATATTACTACAATTTTTTTTGTTGATATCATATGTTTACTAGTACAATACCCGTGTATTACACGGGTGCTTGCTAATTTTTTTCTTAAAATCTAATTAAATTAATGAGAAAAAATAGTTTGAAAATTTAAATACCTTTTATAAGAAATATATATTATTATTTATTTATTATGACACTTTTTATTTGTGCAACTTACTTGTGTTATATTATACTAATTTTTTTTAACTTACAATATATAACTACATTACATATAAATATATCAATTGAAAAATAATTTTATTTTTCTAATGAATTTCAATAAATATTATTATTTTTTATTATTATAAAGATAAATATAATTTATTTATTCCATATATATACAATATGGATGTCAAATCGAAGATCATCAAAAGATGATTAATTTGATATATTATATATGTAAAATCGATAAGAAATACAAAAGTTATCAACTTTTAAAATACATTTATAATTCAATAGCTTATTGAAGGAAACAAATCAAAATTCAGGGATATATTAGTCACTTAGTGCCTCACTATGTAAAATTATAAAGAATTAAAGGGTTTTATTAGTAAAAGTGATATTAAAATACCTAAATTAGCTAAATAATATTTATGCAATACCCAAACCTAGATTATTAATTATTAATATATCAATATTATTTATTCAAACCTAATTACGAAGCATGATTCTTTGCCAAATAGAATTCTGAAGCACCAGAAGCAACCACGTAGGCTCAGCCCATTCTGAAATTATATATAGAGAGGATATTACAAATATATATTTTCATATATATAATTTTTTAATATAAAATTAAACTATCATAAACAATAACAAAATATTCATTTGAAAATTTAAAATAAATAAATATAAAAAATATGTTTGCTTAAATTAATATTAAATTAATTTAAAACAATGGAAAATAATAATAAAAAAAAAATAAATTATTAGGTGGAGTAAAATGTATAGATTTGGAGAAGATTCTAATTACGAGTTTGCGAATTGAAATCCAATTCCTCTTTCGAGGGTTTCAATAGATTTGCCCTTTCTCTTCTTCTGTTCTTCTCCAACTCAACCTAGCTGATAAATTCAATTTTACATACCTGAATTCGATAATTGAAGCATAATAATAATCGAAACGACAATGGAAATCGGCGATGGCGAAGAGGTAAACGTTGAAGAACTCGCGAGCAACCTCTTTACTTACAAGGACCAGCTCCAACAGGTGTTTTTCGTGTTTCCTTTGTTCGTGGCCTTATTTTCTTTGCCTCTTGTTTGATTAATCTGTACAGTAATTTGTTCTTTTGTGAATGCGAAATTGTCGATAGTGAAGATTAATTGTTGGAGTTGTAAGAATTGGAGTTTATTTCACAATTCCTGGTTTCACTGTACCTCACAACTTAAGTTTGTATAACTAATTTAGCGTATATTGTTTCGTTGCAAAAACCCATGATGAATGATGCCGGCATGTATGGTGCTTCTTTTGAGTAATGTAATACGGGTCTATCACGTTGTCATTGATTTGTTTGCTCAAAATCTGAATCCGTAGAGTTGGGGATATGGGTGAGGGCTCTAAAATGATCGATAATGCTTACATATTCCAAGACCACGAGTTGCAATATTGATAATTTCACATGAAAAATATGATTTTGTCAGTGTAGAAAAACTTGTTTGTTGTTTTGTGACAAACTACAAATAGCCTTCTCTTGTTGGTGTCGAATGAATGTAACAGCAGAAACGTTTAGATAAATTTGTTGTCCAGTGTCGTGTTCCTGAGGAGCGGTTTTGTTAACTGATCTCTATCTTGTGTTTGCTAGTTTGTATCTTTGTAGTGAAAGATTTTTATCATGCCATGTATTAAGTTGCTTCTCTTTTACACCATTTGTACCTTTGGTTTATAGTATGTTCTGCATATTCATGCTATAAGCCCATATATTCTTTTTGATTTGATATTTTACTTCTGCTGGAGCAGGTTCGTAAATTATTGGAGGATGACCCAAATAACTCTGAATTTTTGGACATGGAGAAGGAACTTGTGGAGGTGACCCATTTTGGAAATCCATTTTACTCGTTTTTCGTTGAGACTTCAGGGTGTTCTATTAAATGCACAGTTGCACACATAAAATTCCTCATATGTCCGTCTGCTAGCACTGTTGTTGTCAAACTGCTAGTTTAATATCATCAGAACTCAGTAATCATTTTAATTAATCTAAATATAGTATTAAATATCACTTTTTTAGTTTATTTGCAAACTCTATTTCTCTTTCTCAAATATATTGCTCAAACAAGCAGTTCAAGGACCCACCTGTGACAGAAGAGAGATGTTTTCACTCTTTTGGGTTGTTAAGGTGAGGGTATTTTATCTTGTCTAGAAAAATACACATGGTGTGTGGAAGTCTCAGGATTTCAAAAGATAATTGGGTGTAGGAGTTTTCCAAAGTGCCCATCACTATTGTTTGGTTCTATTGCAGGTGTGGTATCACCTGCTGGCCAGTCTGCTCTGTCTCAATAATTTTGGATGTCACCCTGGATTGAAGTTCATATATATACGCATATTTTTTTCTCTTTGTCTTTTAATAAATGTTTGGAATCATGTATCTGTCTATAATTTCGGCTCATTTTCTTGCTTCAGGTGATTGCATTGACAGAGGAACTTCTGACAACTGCGAAACAAAATGATGGCAGTTCTGTGCCTGGTGCTGGCACCAGCAGTGAAGCATCTTTAAATCCTCATGTTTCTGAGAGCTCATTGCATGCGGTGTGTTACCTGCTGAACTTATGAAAACATTGGTTTTGTTGTTCAAGTTTATTCTGTTCCATTTTTAATACAATTTGTGCTTTCAAGGAAGAGGCATTGTGTGTTGGTCCTGGGTGTCAATACTCAATAGTGCGTCCGTTAGTAGCTAGCCGGTTGAATTTTTATTTTTTATTTTTTATTTTTTTTTGGGTGTTAGGCTAAGATGCTTCATACGACATGAGATCCTATATTGAAGAAAGCTCTGCTACTAATTTGTGGTAGTGGAAAAGTCAGGTTATAAATGGCTGCGTAAAGGCCACGAGTTTCACTCATCTAATTTTATGTATATTCTCTCTCCCTGTCTATTAAAATATAAACTGGAAGTTTTTGTTTTTGTTTTTAATCAGTTAGTAGACGAGTATGGATTTAGCCATCAATATATGCATTTGTGCATGCATCTGTGTTGTCTGTTCAATATCTACTATGATTAATATAATAACCCATGATATGGAAATACTTTTCTTGGTCCCTTGTCCAGAAATCAAGGTCTAGTTCTAATTATGGTGATAAGCTTCCCGTTGGAACCAAAGTTCAAGCAGTCTGGAGTGAAGATGGAGAGTGGTATGTAAAATGTTATTTCCACATGTCTTGGTACAATTCTTATTTTCTTAAGGTTCTTTACCTTTTCTTTATGGTTGATTTAGTTGAATTATTCAGGTATGATGCAACAATTGAGGCTCATTCTCCAAATGGATATTATGTTTGCTACTCTGGATGGGGCAACAAGGAAGAAGTATGTTTTCATTGCTTCGAGTCTTGAATCAGTAGTTTGTATATATGAGTGTCTTTTCTTTTATCATTTTTTTTCCCATTTTGATTGAAGCAAATATGAATTACAAGTTTTTCTGGCGGTCCAAATGCCCCTCTCAGCCTCCTCATCTTGACCTTGTTTAATATTTTGATTCGTGGGATTAAATAGACAGGAGTGTATCACGCTACTGTCTCTGCTGTAAGAAAGAAAAGTAAACTTTTATATCTCTAAAACAAATATGGAATAAGGGCCGACTTATTTGTGTAAAATCCTGGCATGACAGGGCAACACAGTTTGATCTTGGCATTTCCAAAATAAAATAAAATAAAAATAAATAAATAAATAAAAATTGAAAGTTGATCTGATGAGAGTTGGTTATATTGTAAATCTTTTAATATGGTTATGATTTATGATTGATGAAAGACTAGGATTGTATTGTGCGAAAGTTTGTTGAGGTTATGCTGTTTAATTGGCAATTCCAGGTTGATCCTGATAATGTCAGACCAATCCAAGAAGACACTGCCGACCCTTTATTGGAAGCTGAAAAAAATGCTGTGGCTACAAAAGAAGCCCTTAAACGTAAGATTGCCCAAGCTGCCTCTAAGGATTTCGAGTCATGGTCTCTGCCACCAAAACTCCAGATTGATCCCAATGATCCTGAGGATGTGGTAATGTTCAGAAATTTTAGCTCATTTTATGTGGGTCGTGATCATAATATTTCTCCATGTTATAGCTGACCATGAATTCTGCAGAAGTCCTCTCTAGTAAATGCAATTAGTAAATTGCTGACTGATCTTTACTTCTTTAGTTTTTGTTTTTTCATCAATTTTATGTTATTTATAGATATCATTTATTTTTGTCAACAGAAGGATTCTTTTCTTTTCTTGTATTGTATAGGTTGTGTGTTCACCCATTGGGCCGAAATATCTGGCATCTTTTTACATTCTGACATTTGAAGTTTTATGGTCATTTTTTTGCTAATGTGATCCTTCACATCTGCCATTTCCCAGAAAGCTGCAAAACGTAAGAAGATACATGCTTTCAAGTCCAAGATGCGGATGGAGGCAAAAGAGATTACACAGAATAAAAGGCAAAACGCATGGCAGCAATTCCAGACAAGTAAAGGGAAGAGTAAAAAGGTAATCTTTATAAATTGCTTATGTTTGCACTTGTTGTTTATTATTCTAAAGCCTGATGCATAATTAATAATAATTAGGTTAGGACTTAGAAGGATATGACTGTATGCATGTTAAACTTTTCTGATGTAATCTAACATATTTGCAAAAATAATAAAAAATAGAAAAGATCTGTCCCTGCCATTGAATGATGACAGGTATTTCTTGTTTTGCAGGTTGGATTTTTCACTGGTCGAAAGAGGGAGAGCATATTTAAATCTCCGGAAGATCCTTTCGGGAAGGTTGGGGTGACTGGAAGTGGGAAAGGTCTGACCGAGTTCCAAAAACGAGAAAAGCATCTCCATCTCAAAGGAGCGAATATTGAAGGCGCGGAGGATTGACTATCAACATGTGCTTATTTTGTTTTCCTCTTTGTTTCCTTCCATGTGTATGGATACTGAGAGCAATTCATGATCAAATTGAGTGGCATTGAGGACATATTATGATTGTGAAACAAAGATATTTGAGCTATAGTATGATTTGGAATAGGATCTGAAACATGGTATTGCTCAACTTTTTACTTCTCACAAGAAAGGAGTTGCATCTGATGGTGTAAAAAAATACTTTTAGACAAAAATTTATTGATTGTATCCTTTTAAAATTACCCAATCTAACCTTGTCATTTAGTTTGGTTGCCATTTATATCACTCATCTCTCCTCTCCCGTCAAATTAGGGTTGCTTTTCAATTTTTTGCATCCCTCCTCTCTCCTCCTTTATTCTTTTCTCAGCTCCGCCTCGCGCCATTTCTCCCGTCGCCGAATTTGCATCCCCTCTTCAGTTGGGCTTAAAGTTGTCGTTGTTGGGGGTAGTAGAGGTCGCAGACGAGGTTGTAGATCTGGCAACGGTGCCGACGAGATGGCCTGGATCAAAATAGGTCGCCTCCCTCGACATTGTCCTATCGAATCTTGATTTACACTTGGTCGTAGATCTTACAATTATCAGCGTCGACGGGGATTTGGACGAATCTGGCGATTGGAGCACGAGATGTTTATTGAACTTGTGACCTCTGTACCTTTGGCCACGTTAATGGAGGGTGAAGGCAAAGGTGGGAGAGTGGGGGAGTGAAGAAATGGAAGGGAAACAAGTATGATTGTGATTTCACATCTCAGAGTGGTATGAAATTCTGGTGGATCCATCGTGATTATTGAGGTGGATTGAATCTACTGCGGTTGTCTTACATGCATTATCATTACCCATATGGACAACCCCTCAATTTATCCCTTGAAAATTGACGAACCACTCCCTTATGGGAAACATATGGTAGGTGCTCCTGAATACAAAATCCATTCGTTTGGATGAGGCTGTTAGGAAAAGAAGTCGGATAAGATGGAATAATAACAACACACTAATGTGAAATCAATAAAAGACACGAATATTTGTTAACCCAGTTCTGATTAAATCCTACGTCTGGGGGCGAACCAAGCCAGGAGAATGAACTAGAATAAGAGGATAAATCGAATGTTACAACTCACACAAGCCCGTATGAATACACTCTTCTCTACTCTTTTCTCTCTCTTTGTTATGTTTTTCTTGGTTGTATATTTGTTCATCACAATTGCTAGCTATTTATAGAAGAAGAAGAACACATTTTTTTCCACATTTGTGTACTATTAATGTGAACAAATGAGCATCCTAGCTGCTGCACAATTTCAAGACTTGTGGGCTGCCTTTTTCTTCTTCTTTGGTGTGCTGTCAAAGAAATGGAGCTGCAACCTCCACTATTGACTTAACAATCTCCCACTTGAGGACTGATTTCAATCTGTCCTCACACCTCATTGATCAACATGTTCATCTCTGCTCCTGGTTCTACCGGGTCTGTCTGTTTTAATTATCAAGGCCGGTCGAAGCTGCACACAGCTTCAACTTTTCCAAAGTTACCGCCTTGGTCAACATGTCTGCAGGATTTCTCTCTCCCGGAACCTTTTTCAGCTGCAACACCTTCTTCTCTAGAAGTTGCCGGATGAAATGATACTTAACCTAGATGTGCTTCGTTCGCGAGTGAAACGCGGGGTTCTTTGCCAGATGGATTGCACTCTGGCTATCGCTGTATAGAGCCACATCCTCTTGAGGTCTCCCAAGTTCATTCAGGAAGTTTTGCAGCCAAAGGAGCTCCTTGGCTGCCTCCGTCACTGCCACGTACTCAGCTTCCGTTGTGGACAATGTGACTATCTTCTGCAGTTTTGAGATCCAGGATACGGCCGTCCCGCCGTAAGTAAACACGTACCCAGTAGTACTCCTCCTCTTGTCAAGATCACTTCCTGCAAAATCAACATCGACAAACCCAGACAGGGTAAGGGTACCCCTGCCAAATACCAATGTCCGGTTCTTAGTACCCCTCAAGTACCTAAGGATCCACTTTACCGCCTCCCAGTGCATCACTCCAGGATTGCTCATGAACCGACTGACTACTCCCACTGCATGTGCTATGTCTGGCCGGGTGCAGACCATAGCGTACATTAGGCTCCCGATAGCCGAAGCATACGGCGTAACTCTCATCTTTTCTTTTTCAGAGTCATCCTGGGGCGAATCCTTGTTGGACAACTTGAACTGGCTTCCCAATGGCACTCGAACCGACTTTGCAATATTCATATTGAATCTGCACAACACCTTCTCAATATAATCAGATTGAGAAAGCCAAAGTTTACCAGCATTTCTGTCCCTCGTGATTTTCATGCCCAGTATCTGTCTCGCTTCTCCTAGATCCTTCATATCAAATCTCCTTGATAGTTGATCTTTGAGCCTCTCGATCTCCTTGACATCTGATCCTGCTATCAGCATGTCATCCACATATAGCAGTAAAATAATGAAAGAGTTACCGAACTTCTTCACATAGCAACAATGATCAGCATTACACCTGGAGTATCCTATCTCCAACATGAAATTATCGAATTTTCGGTACCACTGTCGAGGAGCCTGTTTCAGTCCGTACAAGCTCTTCTTTAGGCGACAGACCTGCTGATCATTTCCTCTATATCCCTCTGGTTGCACCATGTAAATTTCCTCCTCGATATCCCCATGCAGAAAGGCCGTCTTCACATCTAACTGTTGCAACTCCAAGTTTTCCGCCGCTACGATGCTTAACACTAAACGTATAATGGTTAACTTAACAACAGGTGTAAAAACATCGGTAAAGTCAATGCCGTATCTCTGTTGGAATCCCTTTACTACAAGTCTGGCCTTGTACCATTTTGTTCCATCTGATTCCTCCTTGACCCGATAGACCCATCTGTTTTGAAGAGCCTTCTTTCCTTGTGGGAGATCACACAAATCCCATGTGTGGTTCTTCTTCAACGAGTTCATCTCGTCGTCCATCGCAAGCTCCCACTTGCTCTTGTGGGCATCTTTAACTGCCTCTGCATAACAGTCGGGTTCCCCAGAATCAGATAAAAGTAGGTAATAAAGAGAAGGGGAGTACCTATCCGGGGCCCTTCTCATCCTCGGTTCTCGGCCCAGTGCCAGAGGCGTGCTGCTCTCAGCAATCGGTTCATCCGATTCTTGTTCTACCTCTTCTTCTGTACGCTCGATCTCATCTATCTGAGCTCCCACTGAATCTGCTGGTCTCATGATTCTGGTATTTGAAATATCGAGACCAACATACTCCTGCATGGTCTTGTCATCGTCCGGGTATTCCTTCCGGTCCTTGTACATTATGCCTTCATTAAACACCACATTACGACTGCGAATAATTTTCCGATTTTGATCATCCCAAAATCTATACCCAAATTCATCAGTCCCATATCCAATGAATGTACATTTGACGGACTTAGCATCCAGCTTTGTCCGGTCGTCGTTCAAAACGTAAGCCAAACAACCAAAGGTACGTAAGAAAGAGAGATCAACTTCCTTACCACTCCAGACCTCTTCTGGAATTTTGTTGTTCAGTGGGACAGAAGGCCCCCGGTTGATCAAGAAAGCGGCCGTGCTGACTGCTTCTGCCCAAAACATCTTGGGCAGTCCACTCTTCAATCGCATGCATCTCGCACGCTCATTCAGTGTCCTGTTCATCCTCTCCGCAATGCCATTTTGCTGAGGTGTCCCTGGGATCGTCTTCTGCATCCGGATCCCATGATCAGCGCAATATTCCTTGATGGCTTCACTGTTGTACTCGCCACCGTTATCGGATCTGAGACATTTCACTTCCAGACCTGTCTCTTTCTCCACGAGTGCTCTCCATCTCCTGAAAGTATCAAAGGCTTCGGATTTTCTTTTAAGAAAGTACACCCATACCTTTCTTGTGTAGTCATCGACGAACGTCATGTAGTACATCGATCCTCCAAGAGATGTCACCGGTGCTGGCCCCCATAAGTCAGTGTGCACGAGCTCCAGTTTTTCTGTCTTTGGAGCTCTCCCGGTGGTTATGAAGCTCACTCGCTTCTGCTTTCCAAGCACGCATTGCTCGCAGAGACCCACGTCCACTGACTCCAACTCGGGCAAAAGTTCTCTCGACTTTAGTACCTTCATTCCTTTCTCGCTCATGTGGCCCAAGCGACTGTGCCACAAGTGCGATTGTGAGACAACTCATGTCAGGAGAATGTTTGAGCTGGATCCACTCGTCGTGTAAAGCGTTCCTGACTTCAGCCCTCTTGCCAAAGTCATAGCTCCTCAGCTGACCTTCCACTTTCCGTCTCCAAACATTGTGTGGAAGCCGTCATTGTCCAGCTGTCCAACTGAGATGAGATTCCTCTTCAGTCCTGGAATGTGCCTCACATCCCGTAGGGTCCAGCATGACCCATTTGCGGACTTGATTTGCACATCTCCCTTTCCTACAATTTTTAGGGATTTATTGTCTGCAAGATATACCACGCCAAAATCACCTGCGGTGTATGGCTCCATGATGTCTCTGCTACTGCAAGAGTGAAATGAGGCCCCTGAGTCCACGATCCAGTCATCGAGCGAGCTTCTCACACTCAACAAGAGTGCATCCGCCGTGTCCTCCGTCGCGGCATTGGCTGTCCGGCCTTCTTTGTCCTTCCTTGGTGCCCGGCATTCGCTTTTCATATGCCCAGGCTTCTCGCAGTTCCAACACACCATCTCTTTCTTGCCTTTATTCCTTCCCCTGGATTTTGACCTCCCACGGATTTTCCCTCGTGTTTCGGGTCTCCCTCTGGACTCTGTATGTAGGGCTGAGCCAGACGACCCACTCGCCTGATTTCTGCGGGTCTCCTCGTTCAACATCATATCTCTTATGTTGTCGAACTTCATCTTCTCCTTGCCAGAAGAAGTGCTCACCGAAGTAACAACCACGTCCCAACTGTCCGGCAATGATGAGAGCAAGATTAGGGCTTTTACCTCATCATCAAACGAAATATCCACCGATGCCAACTGCGTCGTGAGTTGGTTGAAATCGTTGAGATGATCGGCCACTGACTTTCGCTCCTCCATTTGCAATTTGAACAACTTTTTCATCAGCATCACCTTGTTTATTGCTGATGGTTTTTCATACATGTCGGCGAGTGTCTGCAAGACCTCCTTCGTGCTTTTTGCTCCCTTCACATGGTAGGCGACGTTCCGAGAGAGCGAAAGAATTATAGCGCTCATCGCCTTCCGATCGAGCACCTTCCATTCATCATTGCTCATCTTCTCGGGTTTTTCTCCAAGAGGTGCGTAGAGGTCCTTCCCGTACAGGTAAGCCTCCATTTGCATTCGCCAGAATCCAAAGTCGGAACCATTGAACCGTTCGACTTGAATCTTTCCCTCCATCTTATCTCCAACCTCCTGGCTCTGATACCAGTTGTTAGGAAAAGAGGTCGGATAAGATGGAATAATAACAACACACTAATGTGAAATCAATAAAAGACACGAATATTTGTTAACCCAGTTCGGATTAAATCCTACGTCTGGGGGCGAACCAAGCCAGGAGAATGAACTAGAATAAGAGGATAAATCGAATGTTACAACTCACACAAGCCCGTATGAATACACTCTTCTCTACTCTTTTCTCTCTCTTTCTCTTTCTTTGTTATGTTTTTCTTGGTTGTATATTTGTTCATCACAATTGCTAGCTATTTATAGAAGAAGAAGAACACATTTTTTTCCACATTTGTGTACTATTAATGTGAACAAATGAGCATCCTAGCTGCTGCACAATTTCAAGACTTGTGGGCTGCCTTTTTCTTCTTCTTTGGTGTGCTGTCAAAGAAATGGAGCTGCAACCTCCACTATTGACTTAACAGAGGCGATGAAAGTGAAACCACATGCGAAAATTCACAGTCTTCACTTCTACTCTCGGCAACAATGCATCTTGAAGAGATTTGTCGTCCTTCTTCGACTTAGGACATTCTTTCTTCCAGCACCACTTCTCATGGCAGAAAACACATTCGTTTTTGTCAAGCTTGGCCTCGAAACGTGATCTTCCTCATTTATTCTTCTTTTGGCTCTTCGACCAACCTCGTGCAACCAACATTTCATCTTCTGTTGCTGCATTCTTCGTCTCTTGTTTGTTTTTCTTCCTCAACTCATAGCTATACAAAGCAGAATCAACCACTGCAAGCGTTACATCATCCATCCCATGGAGCAAAATAGATTCTAAGTGCACGAACTCATTATGAAGTGATGATAATAACATTAGAGTCAAATCTTCATCGCTGAATGTGACGTCCAAGTTCAACAAATCTACAACCAACTGATTGAATGTAGTAATGTGGTTATTCATCGATGTGTCATGCCGGTACTCAAATCGGAACAACCGCTTCTTCATGAGGAACTTATTCTAGCCGCTCTTTTCCAGAAATTTATCCGCCAAAGTCTTCCACAGAGTGTGAGCGGAGTTCTCATTCTTGAACGCGTACTTCTGCTCCTTGGACAAAGACGAACGCATTATTTCACAAGCTAAGCAGTTTATATTCTTCCAGTTCTTGTCATCAATGTCGTCTGGACTCTTCTTCAGTGGAAATGCCGACGCCTTGTTGAAATAGACAATCCAATACCTCGCCTTGGCACATGCCGAAATGAGCGGTCTTATCGAAGATCTCCACTGGGAGTCTGAAGTTCGGCATCACCATCCTTGCTGAAATGAGTGTAGAGGATAGTGCACCCTTGATCTCCTTTGACATCTCGAAACTTAATGTAGTGCTCGCCTCAACAAATGAGCCTAGGATGGACTTACGGCTCTGAGATCACTTGCTGGGGGTATTACAACAAGCAAAGTGAACAAAAATGCCCCTACAACAAATAATGACAAGCACTACTATTGAAAATAAGCCAACACAAATAAATATAATGCGAAATAGAAAAAAAGTACACAAAATGGATAACCAAGTTCGACCAATATTGTCTACGTCTCCGAATACCGCAAAACGCAATGCCAAATTTACTAAACTCACCAATAAAATACAACTAGGGTTAAATAAACATACAAATCCAAATTATCTTAATTAATCAAAACAACCTAATAATATGTCATTAAATATACTTTGCTGCAAAATTCCAAAATTTATTGGACTAAAACTACTATATGAGAGGCATTTACAAACAAAAATATATCGTGGACAAGAATTGCCATACACATCAATACAACGGATTGGGGGGCCAACGGTGCAAACTTAACAGCACCCTCTCCGGTGTGTTTTAATTACTATTGGATTAAAAACAAAAGAAGTAATATTTAGATGTATATATTACGATCCAATGGTAATTAAAACACACAGCAGATGGTGATGTTAAGTTAGCACCGTAGGCACCCCCGATCCCAATACAACACGTTGTAAATCGTGCAGTTTAACTTTACCAAACCCAATAATTAAATAAATAAAATAGCAATATTTTTTATTTTCTTTTACATAATTTCAAACTTAATCATACAACCTGCTAATTAGGTGATATACTTATTTTGAAGCTGTGTGTATAGTGAGTCAAATATCCAAACTGGGGCATGGACAACAGTCTGCGTAAACAAAGGCCCTTCTCTAGTGGCTTTTAAATACCATGCATGTTCTCAATTTCTCATCAAAGTCAACAGAATCACCGTTTTGCAATCCTAACGCGTTGACCAGATTGATTTGGTATTTAGACATTTAAAATCGGTGTTCGATATGGACACGACTTTGTTACGAAACTACTAGTACGTACCCCGTGTGATAATAAGGTATATATTCAAAATTATATCACAAATAATGTTATATAATTTAATAATAATATTTATTAATATGGTATATATTCAAAAATTCTGTTTTGATACCTTGAACCATAATACCGTGAATCCGGTTCTTAGGGGAAAATCTGAAAAAAAAAAAAAAAAGTTTTAAAAAGCGAAAACAATGTAATTTATATTTAATTAGGGCTAAAAAAATTGATATACAAAACCACGGTTGATTTTTAATATTTCAATTTTTTGATATTGAATTTGAAATATAATCAAATCCGTCCTGGTAGGAAATATAACCTTATATGTTGACACACTGATTAATATTTGTTGCCTGTTTTTGTTTTCTGTGATTTAACCAAATCTTGATTATGTGTATTTTGAAGGAATAAATTCCTTCATATAAGGGATTTTATTTCGTTAAACTATCTAAATTCATATTTATATCGGCAATTTGAAATTTTGAATTACAGTAGAACACGACACTATGAATACAAAACTAGTACAGAGTCCGTGCAATGTACGGGGTGCACAATTTTAAGGTTATTTATACAGCCTTATAATTATATATATAAATGAATAATAAAATGTACGGAATAAATATAGTACGGGACCGGTGCGAGACACGAAATATATTTATTTAGGGAATATTATATTATACGATGCAATATTCAATAAAAGTTTTATAGTACGCAGGAAAATTATACAATAAAATAGTATCTGACAAAAAAAACTATATATTATTAAAGATCTCCTTGTACATAGATATTAAATAATTTATTAGTAAAATAGTGTATAAGTTGATTACAATAACAAAACAACGTGCTCACATGATTACTAAAAATATTCTATGGATTGAAGATTTAATGGGATTAAACATTTAAATTAATTAACTTAGATAATTCAAAAGCCTTCCAACATTGTTTTGACTTTAATATATTACAACATGTGTGTACTTTAAATATATTAATATTTAAGGAACTTTAAACAGCATAATTTTTTACAAAAATTATTTTAGGGAGCTTTAAACAGCATATTTACGTCACCCATAAAACAGATTATATTTCAACATCATAGTTATATTATTATTTAAGGAACTTGAAACAGCATTGTTAAATATTTACGTCCACCCATAAATTTTTTACAAGTCGAAGGTAAATTAATCCCGTTTCTTTTTTATTTGTTTGATTGTTCAATTTTTTTGACAAAACTGATATCATGGATAAAAAAATTTAATATTAAATAAATTAATTAAATAATTTAAAATAATATGCTTTAGACAGATATAAGATGCGGATAATCCTCTCATACCAAACAACGCGATTTCAAAATTGACTCAGATCCAGCAATCCTATCCAATATTTCATATAAATAAATATTAAATAAAATGCTTTAAACAGAAATTAGATAAGAAATTTTGAATCTGCCTTTTTTTAGTATAAATAGGCTTTACGTATATTTTTTGACTTCATCGATTATGGAATTTGTTTTGACTAAATCGATGTTATTATGGAATAAGATAAATAAATAAAGTCTTTTTTATTTTAGTAAAGATTTTACGTACTTTTTTTTGACTTATCGGATGTTATGGGATTTTTTTTAAGCCGGTTTTTATTTTAGTAAAATTTTTAAAGAATAACTAATATAATTTTATTATCTAACCATCAATAAAATCATTTAATGATGTGATCATTATCTTTTAAATGATAAATAATATTAGTTTTTTAAAAAATATTAGTTTTATATAATTAAATAAAGGTTAAAAAATATTACTCGACAAATATTAATTATAATGGATATTAGTAAAATCATTTCATAAATTATTTAAGGAAAAAATCTTTAAGATCATATCTGGATAATAAATATAAATATGCAAGCATTTAATTCATATAGTAAAAAATTTCCAAATAAGGTATGCATTAAATGTGTGTTGACTTTTCTTACTACTATT